GTTGGTTGGTGGGTTGGTTGGTTGGTTAGTTGGTTGGTTGGTTGGTTGGTTTTGTGCCTTGGGTTGTTGGTTTGCAGGTTTGTCGGTGGTCTGTTTGGTTGGTTATATTGCTTGGTTGAATGGTTGATGATTTATTTAGTTAGTTGGCTTGAGAATAAKTGGATTCGTTGGTTATAGCTGCTTGGTTGGTGCTATATGGTTGGTTGAGTTGCTGGGATGGCTCTGGAAATTCAAGGTCTGGTAATGTTTTTTTTGGTTTGTTGTTTGCATTGTAGGTGTTCTATTGGTGTCTTGCTGGTTAACCTGTTAAGAATTGGTTTCAATGGGTTGGCTGGATGGTTAGTGGTTGTGGTTAGTGGTTGTTTTATAGCGCTCGGGGGGGGGGGGGGGGGGTTTGAGGTCTTCAATATATGGACTATACGGGGATGATCCGCTGAAGAGGTTTTTTTTGTTGTTGTCATAAACAGGGTACCCCTTTCAGAATCCCAGCGGAACACCCCTACCCAAATTCTGGCGGAGTACCCCCCCACCCCCCTCCCGGCCGGGGCCCGGGGGGATTAGTGTGTGATTTGGTTGTGTTGGTTGAAATATCTCTTTCTTTGTGGTGTAGTTGGCTGTTTGGTTGGTTCATGCATGTGGCTTTCCATTTCTTAATTCATCGTTTCCTTCCTTGTTTTCATTTTGTTCTAGAACTGAAGCAAAGACTCACCTCTTCTTTCTAGACACAACTTATAGTCTCTGCGTCCAAGGTCACACACACATTTGTTCAGAACTTCATCACATCTCTCGCCTTTTAAACAGGGAGGGTCACACAAAGAGTCTGCAATGATAGCATAGTTACGTCTTGAGTATTACTTAAAATCAATATTTTTGAATACAATTATGGTTTTATTTTTCTGCCTTGTCTTACCTCCTACTATCAATACTTCGATGTCATCAGGCTGGAACTCGTTACTTCCCGTAAACACTTGATTACCAGGCAAAGCTTCATACAAATCACCTGGAGCATTAGAACATTTCTTGTCCGTTATACCGATGACCAGATCATAGAAACCAAATCTCATCCCCTTTTCCGTGAAGATAATAGCAGGACCTTTATCTGGACGAACATTAAGCTTACTTTTCGTTGCAGAAAGAGTATATAAAAATGATTTGGTTGATGGTATTGGACGGCGAAATCCTAAAAAAATAAACAAATTCACACAGTATGAAAAGAGATTTAGGTATTAGTATCAACAAACATAGTGTTTGGATCCGCTGCCTTACCGTAAACTTTGACTTCTCCAAGATTAAGAATTCCAAATCTTTTCATATGAACTGTGACGTATTTTCCATAGATAGCCGGTTTACAGTAAAATGTCCCACTGTCCTTATTTTTGAGCGAGTGTAATCCACCACACTTCGAAGAGTTATCGCTCACCCCTTGAAGCTGATTGCTAATTATAATCTCAAAGTCATAGAGCCTGTCTTGGAAAGACTTTTCCTGACGATTATAAATAGTCAATTTGAAAACAAAAATTGGATATTCGAGCTCAACCCTCCACCAGGGGTCCTGGGTATCTTCTGTTCGTGTGTAGGTCTTAATATCGCCATCAACTGCATGCTCTGGTCCACGGTTGTTTTTGGAATTTTTTTGTTCTGTCGGGCGTCCACTCGCGTAGTCTTTTGTTGATGATGCAAGAAATTCTAGGAAATTTGTAAAAATGTCATGGCTACGCGACGCTATAGCTGAGAGCAAAACACACATTACACGTGCAACAGTTTCCATGCATGCACAGTTAACCAATATAAAGCCAAAAAATGCAAAGTATACCAATAAAAAGGGAATGTCAACACACAGTACACAAATACAGTAAACACCATTGATGTACAATGTACGGGTGTACTGTGCATTGGTGTACACTATGGGTGTACTGTGCAATGGTGTACACTGTATGGGTGTACTGTGCATTGGTGTGCACTATGGCTGTACTGTGCAATGGTGTACACTGTAATGTGAATGTAGTGTGCGTTGGTGTACACTGTAAGGGTGTAATGTGCAATGGTGTACACTGTAAGGGTGTACTGCGATTGGTGTACACTATGGGTGTTGTTTTTTTTTCTTTTGTTTTTTTTTTGTTTTTTTTGCATTGGTGTACACTGTAAGGTGAATGTAGTGTGCATTGGTGTGACATCATGGTACAGTACATTCACCCAGTATATTTACAGTACATTTATAGTGTACACCCAAGCACAATTAAATGACGAGCAAATAATATGGTTTTATAGGATACCCTCTATTCGCATTTGGTAAATACTGCGGGTTAGTGACTGCAGACTCTTGCAACCTTAAYCGATTCACAAAAACAACTTTAATGTACAATTTGCCACTGGAAATAAGGTCATGGTGTCGAAATCCCAAAGTTTTTTAACGGTACAGTATACTAGTCTTTGGAGCGAGGACTGTTGGGTTAAGTTCTGTGCTACCATTGTTCAGATATACGTATACCATTAGCCGAAAGATATAGACTATTTTACTTACCATTAGTGCTCACATCAGAAAACCCTCCGAAGATTTTCGAAACATGCCTTAGTATGACAATAAATGGCCCTTTACTAAGACACTTATAATGGAAGGCACTGCTATTCCAGCCATCATTTATTGAATGGTAGCATGAGACCCATAGCTTATCTGAATATCCTGCTTGAGAAACAGCTGATAGAAGCCAGTCTTTATAACTGGGTATGTGTTGAATCATATTGGACATTATACCTATAGAAAATAGTTGAGATTAAATACAACCGATAACAGTTTTAAAGCTCATGGTGCGTAGCAAAGATGTAACATGAGCAACCATGGACTATGAGCATTACAGAAAGTGAAGCAGCAGCAGTAGCAGCAGCAGCAGCACTGCCAAAAACTATTGCAACAGCAGCACCAGGAAAATCAACAGCCACTGCTAATGAGAATAACAAAAGCTTGTTGCTGCAACCACAACGGTAATAGAAATGGCCACAGCAATATTAACAGTTTTAAGACACGTCAGCAGCATAAACAGTAAGAGCAGCAAGAAAAAGTAAAATGTAGTGGCATCAAAACAACAAAAACAGCAAAAGCAACAATTCAACGACCTGAAAGACGACATCAACATCAGTAACAGCTTTATCAGCAACAATCACAATGGCAACAAAAACAGCGTCATCTGCAATAGCAACAACAAAGGAAATGACAACAACAATGATAACAGTAACAGTAACAGTAGCAACAACAGAAGTAATAGGCTGTCCAGCTGTCACTTGACCATACCACATTTAACAAGAAAAGGAAATAAAGGAAAACAAAAGCATCTACCACAACAACAGCAGCAGGGACAGTGGGAACAAGACCGTTAGCAGCAGTAACACGAGTTTCRTAAAGATTATATCTTTTATTTACAGAAAACCTATTGCATGCATGCATGTCCATACAGCATTGCCATTTTTCTTCTCACTGCCCTACCTGACATTTGGTTAGAAGCGTGTATTGGATAAAATAAACACGAGTTTGAGGTTGATAAAGTGACATTATCCACAGCAATATATCCTCCATATTCCTTCCCCACTACGGCTTCGAAAATAATCTATGTTGAAAAAAATACTAGGAATCATGAACTGATATTTTAGATAGACGAAGAAGTATAATATCAACGTGAAGCTGTTTTATGATGAATACGGATGGTATTTACTCCTAGTGATATTGAGCCGCACGGCTTATGACGTCAGAGATGTTATTGACATGTCCTGGGCACTAGCTGTTCATTTATGTACATAAGTATAGTATTAGTACCCAAACTTTTTATTTCAAAGTGTAAAGGCAGTTATTCCAACGGGCGACAGCTTATTAATTTTTTAAAAGCACGTAATTTCAAAGTATGAAAACGATTTTTTACTTCCACTAAACTGCAACATGTTTAACTGCAAGAGACATTTCAAAGTGCAACAATTTCTAGATTCTGCAATCTGGGTAGACCCTTAAAATTAGGCCTACGTAATCTTTATCCATTTGGAACATCTTTGTCAAAAAGGGATTATCATAAAGAACAGACATAATACAGACCTGGAAAGCGGTTTCCTCCGAGATCGGTACTTGAGCGGTGCTCCAAGTATGATTAATACTCTTGTTATGACCCTGATCGCCGGCTAGTCTCCATAACAACGTCTTTTTTCCTAAGTAACCGCCGGAGTAGACATTAAGGCGTCCTGCTTCAGTTCCGTCGATAATGTAATGAAACGTTAAACAGTTTCTCACGCTGAGGACGAAGTCAGTGCGGTAATACACATTTTCTCCTTTGTATCTAGGATACGATGAATTGACTAGCCAGTACCCTGGGAATAGAAATCCTGAAAAAAAGACGCATTTCAAATCATTCAAGCTAGGTTATGATTGTTAGGATAAAGCAAGCAAACAGGCAAATAAACAAATAAAAATTAATGGATATGAATGAATGATTGGATTCATTCGCCTATTTGTTCAGTCATATCCAAACCATTCCTCTCGCTACTGGACTACTTCGACGATACGGCGGCCATCTTACCAGGGAGGGGGGAAGAGGGGGAAAAGGTCTTGACGGGTAAAGGTGATCGATGTGTTGCTACCTGCACGCCCCACAATGCCTTGCGATTCAGGATGACCACCGCATTGTCCATTTATCTATTGCACTAGCTACGGCTGTGTTGTTTTTTGTTGATCCCTTCAGCTAACTAGGAATATTCCAAAAAGGCTTTTTCTGAATTCGCCTGACTCCAACACGAATGGCTTGGAGTTGAAGTTGAACTTGATAAATACAGTAATGTTTAACGGTTATTGTTTTAAAATGTTGTCCGTTCAAGCGAATTCGGGAGGGCATTCCTCTAACTTACCTCTAACTTCTATTTCACACAAAAGAAGTGCAACACTCGATGAAGCCGTTTTGACGGCGAGTGAAACCTTTACTGCCCGACCTGCTGGATGATTATCACAATAAAACCGTCCATGTGTTCGCCAACCAATGTCATGAATACCGTGACAGTTACTTCTATTTTGTCCATCTGATACACTGATTCTTAGATTATAAAATTTATGGTATGGGATACCTCTCACGATAAAGATATCTGTGACTATATACTTTTGCACCAAGTTGATTTCCCACCATGGATCAAGGACTATTATTGAGTTGAGCCAGAAGCAAAAATAATGTAAACTTCCTCTGTGTCCTGAAAGGATTCTGTTATTTGCGTCAACATTGGTTGAGAACGACTTTAGTTCCTTTGATCGAGCAGCATTGAAAATTGCCACAGGCTTAAAAAAATCTGAAAATTAAGAAAATACATTATGCACCAATGCAAATCGAACTATGATGGCGACCAATTGAATAAATATTGTTCTGTACTTACTAGCGAATGACAAGCCTTGTAGTTTGTATAGTTGTGGAAATCGCACGATCTCGGAATTTACAGGTACGAGTAATGTTTTGAGAACTTTTAAAACATCACGAGTATCTATAAATTCCGAATTGTAAGAGAAGTTTGTGCGATTTTTTGTTTATATTACACTCAACGGGATAGAGCAACTTAATTGGGACTCTACAGAGTACAATTTGGGATTTAATTGTACTCCTTTTGTCCAATCAACTACTAAAACCAACTACTAAATTCTAATTTGATCTCTGGGCTTTCACTTAGTTTGGAGCCTAGCTCTGTTGTGATTATCTCACGCTGTGATACAACAGCTAAAGCTAGTAGATTTTTTTCAATAGGAATCGAGTAATTTTGTTGAGTGAATTGTAACTGTGGAACTGACAAAAGCGTTTTCACATGGCTATTCAGTCGCTAGTCATTATCAGTGCAGAATAGTTATTCAACTGAATTGGTCGTCATATTTAGATACTTATTCGACTATCTATTTGCTCGACATGCGACTTTAGTTGCAACATTGTTACAATGTGGATTATATATTCTTAACATTCTGATTTTACTCCTGATCCTGAATTTATATAAACTAACCTATTTAAAAAAAAAACGTTGTCGGTCAGAATCTTAAATGAGCGATCTAAGCTAAAACAGACTAAAATTCTCAACTCCAAGGCCATGCCTTGTAGACCAAGCTACAGGTAACTGCATGAATACGTTGGTCGCGGCTATGAATATATCAAAATTAATTTAAATCGTGTTACTTGGTCTCAGATTTGAGATTTTAATCTGCAACCGACAACGTTTAAGAAAAAAGGTGTATACCACTGGCATTCTTTATATAATTTTTTTTTACTTAGCCTTTATTTTTGTTCTTTCTGTATGTGTATTTCGTTTCTACTTGCAAGTATTTTCGTTCATTCATTTTTACTCCTATTTTGTTGGAGCCTAGCATTGTCCCCCGCAACCCGCCACCCGCCCCCCTCACCATCACCACCTTTACTTCAGATACTAAGTATACATTATTTTAATATTTTTTGCTGTGGTTTACGTACTTGTGTTCCAGTCAAATTGCTTTTCTATTTCTTTCTGAGTCAAATATGTATCGTACAACTGCAGATCTGTCAACTGAAAGTTCACAGAATTTGCTATATTTTGCTCCACCGCCCAGGCCGCACACCCCAAGGCAAAGATGTATGCAGTTTGACAGGTTACAGTTTGCTTATATGTTATACCAAAATCGGATATTGTGATGTTATCCTGTCTAAGGAGCAAACCATTCATTGTTGACCAAGTAACGGTGATACGAGACCATTTATTTGTAGTAAGAGCAGGCACAGAAAGAGTATATACTCGGTCTTTGATTGAGACAGTGAACTGATGCTCTTTCTTCTCGTTGTATATAAAGGAAACACCGCATGACTGCCCTCCGGCTGATAAGACGTATTTTGGAAGCTTTGGGACTGGAAAAAAGTGTAAAGTAATTAAAAACTCAGGTAAACAGGTCAAAGAAAGTTTACATAGAAATAGGAAAAGTAAAGAGTGAATGCAAAGTCTGTAATGTTTACCCATTTCAGACCAAATGAGAATGTTACTTTTGTTTTCATTTTATTATTTTCGTCAAGAAAAAACGCTTACTCATAACAAAAATTAACAACAACAGAAATAAGACAGGTTTATCGCCAATTGATATCGCCAAAGACCATAGCCAATTGCTGCGGGCCCAGGGAAATAATTATTCATGTCTCCTCATGTACAACCATTAAAAAAATAAAAGATATGACAATTGGTCTAAAATCATGAAAAAACCTCACGTCCAAGGTAAAGAGGTCTATCAAGCATTACTGTTTCAGAAAGATTAAGACGTTAGCTAAAACATTTTTTCCCGTTTTAGACGAGAAAAATGTCGGAAACGTAGGATTGGTTGCTAGCTTCTCAAGCGCCGCGTTAGAACTCAGTTATTTTATTATAAAGATTCATCTATCTACGCAATCCATGCCAATCTATGCCATTCCATACCGCTCCATCCATCAACCATTCAGCTAAGCTTGTCTGTTTATGTTTCTATGCATCCTTCCCATCTTCCTCTATCCATCCCTCTCTCCCTCCCTTCCTCTATCTCTCCCTCTCTCCCCACCTCTCTCCCCACCTCTCTCCCTCCCGCTTTCCATCCCTCTCTCTCCCTCTGTCCTTCTATTCATCCCTGCACTTACCTACATACTCAAATACCTCAATCTCATCAGGCACAAAATAATAACTTCCGGCAAGCAATTGCCGAGCACTTGCCGATACAATACAGGATATGTTTGGCAATTCATAAGCTTGACCCAAATCACTGAAAAACACATCTCCGAGGTAAAGGTCGTTCAGTCCAAAAACTGGGCCAGAAAAGTTGTTGCTTTGAGCTGCTTTAGATGTGAAGTCTGGTTTAATCTTGAGTTTAAATGGTGGACAACCCTCTGGATTGCTGAGGCTGAACAGAAAAGCAGACGCACTGCTCATGGCTTGATTTCCATCTGGAATAAATTTGTTAATTAATACGTCCATTATTAATTATTTCTTAATAATTATAAAAGAGATAAAATGTAAAATACATTTGCATTTTCCAGTGGGAATGAGGGAATGCCAACTAAAATAATTAAGGTGGCTTTGAACGTAATGGCAGTCAACGTTCAGACTTCTTGCATTCCTTGCATATCGAGAAATAAGATCACTTATTGTTACTCTGGGAATCGAGGGTGGCGTAGCGGTAGTATACTCGCCTCTCGCCTTTGAGGTCTCTGGTTCGATTTCTAGACCCGACATCATGTGTGAGTAAAGTTTGTTGGGTCTCACTCTTGATTCTAGGGTTTTTCTCTTCCTCCGCTAAACCTAACCAGCTAAATTTCGATCTGCGGGTTAGCAGTGCCCTAAGTGACCAGCACAGAGGTTGTTTCAAAATATCAATATAATTGGTCCCAAGGCAACCAAAGAGGATTATTTGAAATTCAAGTCTGCACAGCCCTTTTCGACCCCTTCACAGATCCCTGGGCCATCTTGAAAGACAACCTATGCATCGAAGCGAGAGTGATGGCGGTGACCTTGCAATGATAAGGACCTTTGGACTATTATTCGCATATCTCTATCATTGCAGGTCACCACTGTTGTCGCTTCGATGTACAGGTACGGTTACTTTTCAAGATTGCGCTAGAAACTGCAAAGGGAACTATTGTATTCAATTCTCACTCACCTCCCCAACTGCGATCAATGAAACCTCCAAATACATAATCCTTAACTTTGACAATAGTCAAAGTCTTAATTTTGTTGTCACAGTTCAAGTGAAAGGTCCTAGGGTCCCAGCCATGTTTGGAAGCGCGGTAACACAAAGACCATTTGGACCAACTTTCAACTACCGGTGACAACATCTCTTGTAGTTGCTTCTTTTGTTCTGTTCTTTCCTCGAGGATACGAGAGATGAAGTTTTCTAAAGATATATAGCGCAGAAGGAGTATAAAAAGACAATTTTTAATCATGACTGCCGTTGAATTTGCTCAAGTTTTTCCGTTTTCATGTCGTTTTTTTTTAAATCCAACTTTTGTATAAATTGGAATTCTGGAGACTCGCTCTGGGTGAAAAATCCAAGATGGTACCTTTTTGAAAGCCACAAAGTCCCATGCGAAAGATTCAGCAAGTCTCTTTGAGTTATAGATCAACTTTGAAAGGGCTTTATGGAGAATGAGTACGTACGATGTTAATGCATTTGTTAAATATTTTCTAGAACATAAGCTGGATTAAATATTAAAAAAAAAACAAAAAAAAAACGAAAACAATGTTCAACATGTTTCAATGACAACGATGTTGATGAAAACGATGGGTTTTAACGATGATAATAATGATGACGATGATAACCAAGGATGATGAAAATAATAACGATAATGATGACATTAATGATGATGATGATAACGACAACGATACTGATGGTGATGTTGATGTTGAAAATGGTAACGATGATGATGCTGCTGCTGCTGATGATGATAAGTGATACTAAAAATACATGATGATGGTTATATAGGAATCTACTTCATTACAACTACTCTTACCCCCATGTTTTAGCCAGAAAGAAAGAGTAAATCCTTCAAGGCAGTTGGATGGGTTTGATAGACAATTGAAGTTGTTTCCTGTTAAGTCGATACAGCCTTTCTCGTCGCTACTGAACACGTTCAGATCGGTAGACACATTGCGGGTATCTGTGTGCTTCATAAAGGCATTGCTCGTCAATCGAGACACATCTTGAAACATCTTAGTCCCATTACGATCTAGATTCCATGTGCGGTCAACTACAATAAAATCATRAATTAAAACCTTTAATGTTGATTTTTACATTACTTGGGCGTAATATTTCGTATTAACAGATCACTTTTCATTCGTAGAATATTACTTTGTTTAATGGCTGCCCTTGAGAAGACGCTTAAAGATGGATACAACTCAAACACATTAATTATTATTAGTTTTTATTTATTTATATTTTACAACCATAATTCCCCGTACAGAGCTCTTCAGTTAGATTCGCTCTACACACATTACCACTACATTCTCTTTTTACAACATACAACACTCAAACTCAAATGTTATATTTHGTAGGAGGAAAACCGGCGAACCCTGAGAAAACCCCTCGTGGCAAGGGAAAGGACAACACATCAAACTCAAATCACATATGATCCAGCGGGAATCCGGCATGAACCAAAACCATAGCGATGAGAGGCGAGCGGTAAACCACTACGCCAACCATGTTATTTGCCCACAAATATGGGAATAACGCCCCTCCAAATATGGGTAACCCTCCTCCAGGGCCTGGTTGTATGCAAAAGCGCTATTCGACGGATAAATCTTATCCAGTGGATAAATTCATTGGATAACAGCATCGACTTATACACTGGATAAGGATTTATCAGTCGGATAGCACTATCCAGGCTTCGTACAACCGGGCCTAGGTGCATTACTTGCTCCTTTTATTATTGTTTCATCGCAGAGCAATAGCGACATTTTTTACCTGCCCCCATCCCGATGCTATCCACCGTTTTTTGCGCGTTGTCTGAAATGGGAAAACATTATGCCCGAGGTAAAGAGGTCTAGCTATAGAGATTCGTTCTTGCTGACAGCTTATGATGGTCAGTGCTCCTTTTCGCTCGTATTATGGATGGCACTTATCTTTGTCTCAAAATACGTAAAATTTTGAAGGCGATAATTCATTTGAGTTTACTTTTCGCCTTTCGCTTTTATCTTTTCGCTTTTCTTTTCGCCTTTCTTTTCGCCTTTTCATCTATCGCTGTGCGTAAAACATCTCTTATGTCACCCAGGCAATTGCTCAATTATACATCTTCAGTTACATAATTTCTTTGGACATAGAAATAATTTCACTGTTGAAATTCAGCATCCATCAAAATTTTACCACTGACTCAATCTTACAATCCGCCAACCCAACAATCCATCAAATCCTGGATCTCGACACTACACTCGTTCCATGGCCAGTTTTAATTGTTATTATCACAGATTATTTTACCTTTAAAGGAATTGCACAAGTAGACATMATACTTTTTGATGTTACCATTTATCCACAGGGATGTCTCAGGCCAGGGTATTTCCCCATAGTCTCTCATACATCCCCCAGCGTACGAAGACATAATTTGGTCAGTTAAGAATGTGGACCAAATACTAAAACTTGTTACGTCTCCAGCAAAACTGCTTCCTGCAATAATACCGCTGCTTTGATTATCCACCTTCTGGCCTATGATCAAGGATCCATCTTCAAATTTCGTATTGGTTTCGAAGTTTGTGCCGTTTTCTATTTCCTTGTCTCGGACACGGAACTTCCACATACCAGAGTAAGATTGTCTTGCAAAGCAAAACGGAGTCCATTGTGATCCACTGAAGGCAGCCTGGTCCAAAGAAATTATCCTAAAAACAACAACAATAATAATAATAATAATAATAATAAAAACTATTCGAATCCAATCGAATGAAAGAAACAAAATTAGTCAGCAAAAAAGCTGACTAAATCGAGTTGAAAAATAAAATGTGGTACTACGTACAGACTTCACCTAACAAGTAAACCAGCATGCTAAGAATACATACAATTTTAGATCATATTTTGTTTGTTTGCTTGTTTGCTTGCTTGTTCATTCGTTCATTCGTTCATTCGTTCATTCGTTCATTCGTTCATTTATTTGTTTATTTGTAGCAATTTTCGGGTTAATCCTAGACTAGCTGCTAGATGATTTAGCACCGTTACTGATGCAAATAAAGACAAAAGAGGGTTGGCAAAATAAAAGCGTTTAAAGTAAACAACAAATAGAAAAGCAGGGGGAAAAGGATTTGTACAAAAAAACGGGCTATCTATGAAAAGTCGTCAGTCGCTCGTTAAGCAATTTTATTGATCGTAACTGAAATTCTATAGCCGCCCTGTTTCAATTAGTACAGATACCATGCATGAGTCACTGATGGTTAGCTGATTATTGGATTGACCGTGGGAGCCCAATTTAAAAATGCGTTGCGTGTCTACGTATTTTCCTGCTTTAAAAAAAACCAAAACTACGCAATAGTACCCAGGGGTCTTCAGGGCACTACCCAAGAGACCTTTGCCGACATATGATACAGAGATGCTGCGAAAAGTCTGATTTATATGGAAGTGACAGTTACCAATCAATGTCTGATTTATCAAAGTGATTGATTGGGGGTGGGGCTGCGAATCACGTGTCGGAAATTAATGTCTACGCATGTTCTTTTTACTTTAGTTGCTGAAATTCAAGGCTCAGCGTAGGATAAGGAATTACTCGGGTGTATAAACTGAGCAATAAAGCTCAAATTTTTAACTTAGCTTTTCAAAGGCAGTATTCTATACAGCTCTAACTTAAACTAGGAAAATAAGGCTTCAAATAAAATAAGGCCGGCAGTTCCTTTTTCAGTTTTCACTTCATGACCAGCAGTTTCTTTTTATTTTCTTCCAGGGATTTTCTTCTGCTAGATTTCAATTTGACGGATTTGGGTAGAAAGGAATACGTTACTCAAAAATAGAAAAGTTTCACTATTATATTTTATTATTTTAAAAATGAAAAAACCATCCAAGTGCTAACCCTCCTCAGACGAGCTTGCCTCGGTATCTTGAACGACAACTATTTATCCACTGGACCACGGAAAACAATGCACCGTATAGACTAGATTTTTTAACAGTATTTTTTCAACCGATTCCGTGCGTGGCAGAGATGCAAGGGATTAGCCGACATGGTCTGGGGGCCGGCTGGTCTCTCCTCTGATGCTTCGGCTAGAACATTTTCTTGCGTAATAAGTACACCCAAGGGCAGAAGGATTTAATCGCCGTCAGGTCCGAAGTCCATACGACGCCCCAGCTCTGCG